AGTATGGTGGGGAATGGGGAGTGGGGGGGGTGGAAGGGGAGAGGTAATGTGTGTGGACTGGGGAGTATGGTGGGGAATGGGGAGTGGGGGGGTGGAAGGGGAGAGGTAATGTGGGAAGGAGAGAAGGTGGCAGAGAGCAGAAGCTACAAAAACACACAACCTCGCAGGGAAAACAACTGTGTGGAACTTCTCCCGAGGGGAAAGAGAACAGATGAAGGGGAAATCAATATATATATATATAGATTAAAAAACTGTACAACTGAAAAACAAACAAATCATCCTGACCCCCAGTGATGCATTTCCCTAATTTTAATTTTTTTCTTTTCTTAATTATTAAATTATTGACAAAAAAGACCGTCACACGATCCCCTTTCTTTTGCTCAACGTCTTCCTGTACAATTGCGTTTAGAACATACAAATTATCTCACGCTATTTATTTTATCCTGCCAAAAAATTTAAAAAATATATCATGGCAGCTTGGTGTCTTTCATTTTTTTGTGTGTTTTTTGTTTAAACCTCTCTCTGATAATAATCCACTACCGAAAAAAAACGGAGGAGGGGAATTAACCTTTTTTTTTTTAACTTTACAAACTTTTGACTTTACAAAGTTTTTGGGACGCACACACACACGCGCACACCTTTTGAAAAGGACAAGCAAAAAAAATATCATTATTATTATTTTAACCAGTTTTTTATATATATATAAAAAAATTTGCAAGCTACTGTATGAACACAGCAAGTGTCTTCTTACATTACTTATCATCAACCGATATGAAGGGATCGTTCCAGAGAAACGGAGGGCAGAGAGAAAAAATATATAAAAGCACCGGTTGGGAAAATATTAAGTTAAGCAAAAAAAAAGCAATTGCATGAAATATGCACCTTTTTTTTCAATTTTCTTTTCAAAATCTTTTTTTGTCTTGTCTACATAAAAGGTAGCGGTTTAAACTTTCTCCCCCCCCCCCCCATCCCCCCCACCCCCATAAAGGTTCTGTACAATTTCAACCCCCCAAAAAAGATAAAACACACCCTCCCCCCCAAACAATGCCTACTAAAACCGATCAGTCGTTTAGGCTTTACAATTACAGTGACAAGTACATTGTTTTTTAAAAGACCCACAAATTATTTTATTTTTTTTACGGCAACAATTTCCATTTCTGAAAAAAAGTTCATAAATTGTTTTTTGCTTTTTTTTCTTTCCTTTGATATTTTTTTTGTAAAATGCCCAGGAATAATTCTGCATTATTACAAATACTGAAACACATGTACAGAGATCAAGAAACTGTATATATATATATAATATATTATATATATTAAACCCCCATCACCATGTTTGTTGGGCCAGAGAAACCGATTTACACATGAGCCACAGTCTGACATCCTTTTTTGTTTTAATTAAAACAAAATAAAAACAAATAAAACCTTCAGAAAAAGCAAAGTTTTGTTCATTCAACAAACACGCACGCAGACGCACAATTTTTTTGTGTTTTTTTTTCCAACCCTTGTGTATATATATATATCTTCAATACTGTAAACTTAGTTTGAGACTTGAGTGCACTAAATTCTTTTCAGGGGAAAAAAAGAGCTACAGAGAGAGAGAGACACACACACACATACACAGAGAGCGAGAAAGATAAGAGATATAGAGATGCCATTGTTCCTGACTTGAATAACTGTCTTTAAACTATTTTTTTGCTGGACTGTACGGAGGTGGCTTTTGTGAGCCTCTCTGCAGTGGGATTCCTACACTTGTTTCACACTCTTACACACATGCACACACTTCCCCTCACCCCAAAAAAACAAGTGCCAATGAGCACAGATTGACTGGCAAATATGTGTGTAAATCTCACTCCCCCCCACCCCCTCCATGTTTAACAGCTGGGAAAAGAGGCAGTTAGGGTAAGGAAGATATCTCTATCTCATCCTCACCAACTTGTAGCTTAAACATCGCTGAATTTACAAATGCTGGACTGTTGATAGATGCAGGAACTCTAACCTAATACGATGTATTTTTTTCCATCTTTTTTTATATATATATATATCCTGTGCGTGTGTGGGTGAATCTGTGCGTGTCTGTGTGTGCGTGTGCCTGTGTTTGTCTTCAAATCAGCACTTTCCCTTCACACACACACCAAAAAATTGGGTTTTGCATTTGTCTCAGAGACTTCATTAGGAAGATCAAATATTCAAGGCACTCATGTCAAATTGAATGGCAGTACAAAAAAAACCGTCAACCCATATTAACATCGGTCTTTATAGTGCCAGTATTGTAAATGCTATGCTAAGCAACACTGACACTTGTAAATCTCAGTTGGTTTCCCCCAAGTTGTTTTGTCTATAAACCCCTCTTGTGGACCATATATATTTTCCCATTACGTCTCTTGCTCAGAAGTCGCGTGTCCCATCTTTTAAGAAAATACGTGTAAGGTGCGGGCTCCAAAAGAGAGAGAGAGAGAGAGAGAGAGAGAGAGAGAGAGAGAAAGACGAAGCAGGTATCTCAGGTGCAAAGTTAGCTGTTCCAAACAGTTGGCCAATGTCCTTATCCTCTGGTTGGTGTGGTGTGACCAGACCTGTGTGTTTCTGCTGTTTATAAAAATGCATAATTCAAGCTTTGAGTGAGCATTCGGATGTCCTGTTACAATAATCCTTCTGTGTGATACAGAGCCTTTCACGTCAGGATGTTGCAAAGCGCTTCTCAGTATAACTTGTGAAATGGACTATGTTTTGTGAACGAACAGTGAAGGCGGTTTCCAATATCATAAATAAATACTAATTCATTCAGCCCCTCGAGCCTGTTCTGCCATTCTCTATAAGATCATGGCTGTTCTGTGCCTCAACTCCAATTACCCGCCTTTGCCCCGTACCCCTCGATCCCCTGACCTGACAGACATCTCCCCTCAGTCTGGACAATGGGAATGAATTGAAAATTAACATTGGAAACCGGCAAACCTTGAAATTGTTCCAACTTTCGGACGTTTAACAAAACAGTTTGTTATTGCCGAGGTGACATTTGTTCGACTTTCTCCTCTGCCCCCCACAAAGCCTCTGCCCTCCCCTCCTCTCCCTTTACCACTGGCACAGCAGACCAGACCAGACCACACCACGCCAGAGAGTAAAAGGCCTTCTTTGTTGTTTCTCTTTGTGTGTGCTCGTGCGAGTGAAGTGAGTGATCAAAAAAAAAGTCAAGAGAGAAACAGACTGAGCGACAGAAAAAGAGAGGAAACAAATATTGTTGTATGTGTTCAGGCAGGTACTGACCCTGGCGACTCCAGGCAATGGGAGGATTGGCAAAATCAGTGCTACATTTCAGGTTAGGACACAGAGCCGTTAATAAGTGCTACAAAACAGGGATTACAATCCACTGTGGCTTTTTGTTACGTTTTGTTTTGTGCAATTCCCAATCCATTCCCCTCGCTCCCTCCCACCCCCTTCTCCATTTGCTTTCCCCCACCCGCACCCCATCAACCCCCCCCCCCCATCACTGTCTCACACACACACCGCAACCACCCCTCCCCACTTTAAAATAAAGACTTAAATAAAAAATACGCTTCTTAATCGAGAAAGATCACTGAGTGGGCGACTATTCAATTCCAATTGAGCAGCGGCACGAGGAGACAAGAAGGGGGGGGGGGGGGGAGGGCGTCAAAGGACAGTGCATTTTCCGTTGCTCGTAATTGCCACGGGAAAAAACACAACAAACAAACCGACAAACAAACAAACAACGACAACAACAGAAAAATGATCTCAGGATTCCTAACTTTTTTTTCTTAAAAAAAAGTCAAATAATAAAATAAAAATAAAAAAAATCACCTCGACCCCGATCGACGACAACACAAAAGAGAGAGAATAAAAAAATAAACAGAACGAACAGGTTTTCGGACAGCCGAGACAGCCACCTTTTTTTTTTCTTTTTTTTTAAAAAAAAAGGTTTTCTTTTTCAAAAACAGACAAAAAAACAAAACAAAAAAAAGTACCTGCACATTTACGCTTGAAAAAATATCAAAAAAAATAAATACAGAAATTATTGCACAGTTGAAAGGCTCAACATTATTTTACTGTCTCTACGTCACCCTCGGGTTCTGATAGAGCTTCTCAGACACAGACCACATGATAGAAATTCCACCCGGATCCACATTGACTTTAATCTATTTTAACGCCACAGCTCAGAGCACCCGGGAATTGTGGCAAATCCGTAAGACTTTAGAAGCCATTCCTTTATTATTATTATTATTATTGTTTCTCTCTCTCTCCCTGTCAAGTTTCTCTTTCCAGAGCCCTGCAAAGAGGGATAGGAGATTGGGGTGGGGGGAGGGTTGGGTAGGTTGGAAGAGGTGCAGTGTGTTTGGTGGGGTGGGTTGGGGTGAGAAAGAACCTGATTTAAATCTGATTTAATTCCAAGTTAAACCAGAATTCAGCAATTTGCCAAAACCCGTCATGCTCGGGGGAAGGTGTGGAGGGCGGGGGGGGGAAGGGGAGAAGAGGGGGAAAGGGGAAAAGTGGGGCCGGGGGTGGGGGAGAAGGGGAAGGAAGAGAGAATAACCGACACATCACGTCGCTGCTAAGAAGAGCGAGTTCCCTTTTTAAACAACGGACCCAGGTGGAACCCAAACCCACACAACATATCAAGAAAAAAAAATCCTCCAAAAATAATAATATTAATAACAATAACAACAATAAAAATAGCACTGGGAGCGTCTGGAGACCAAAAGCTTCCCCTCCCTCTGTCGGCGATTGATCAAGCTTTTTTTTAAAAAAAAAACAATTATTGGGGAAAAAAAACATTTTTTTTTTCTCTCGTTCGTTCGTTCCGAAAACTTGTGTTTTTTTTTTCTCCGTTCATTTCGAAAACCGTTTGTTATTCTTAAAACACACACGAAGAAAAAACAAAAGAGAGTCTAGTTCTCGTACGTGTGGAAAATCTTCCCCCCCTTTTTTGTTTTTTCCCCCTCCACCTCAAAAAAAAGGGCGTGGGGGGGGGGGGGGGGAAGGGGGCGCGCGGGGGGAAATTGGGGAGCGGAGCGGCCATTTTGTATTTTCGTTGGCGTCTTTTGTTGTTGTTGTTGCTGCTGCTGCTGTTGTTGTTGGCGGTGGTGGTTTTTTTGTTGTGTTTTAGCTCCTGTCGGCCTCCTCGATTTTGACGTCGTTCGTTAGTAAGTGTTCCCCGTGCCACTTTTTCATGTGTTTCTCCAGGGTGCTGTACACACTGAAGGGCATCTGGCAGATGTCGCAGCGATACACCTCCTTGCCGATCTGCCCGTGAGTCTTCATGTGGCGCGTCAGCTTGCTGCTCTGGGCGCAGGCGTAGTTACACAGCTCGCACTTGTAAGGCCTCTCCCCCGTGTGGCTGCGACGATGCACCGTCAGGTTGCTGCAGTTCTTGAAGATTTTGCCGCAGAACTCGCACGTGTCGCTCCGCCGGCCGTCCTTCGAGCTGGGCCTCCCCGGCCCGTGACCGTGACCATGTCCATGCCCCGACATCCCCATGTGGGGGGTGCTGCCGCTGCTGGCCGTCCCGCTGCGCCCCGACAGCCCCCCGCCGTCCAGCATGTCTCCCGGGGGCGTGGAGAAGCGCAGGCTGCCGTTCTCTGATGAGTGCTCGGACGAGGTGGCGAAGGGCGATTGGCGGGAGTCGCCGAAGCCCAGGAAGGGGTCTTTCATGAAGTGCCTGGAGGCAGCGTAGCCCACCAGCCACTGCGAGTACACGTTCTCCGAGGGGATGAGGGGGGCCGAGGGCAGGTCCAGCTCCTTCTCCATCTTGATGCGCTTGGCGGAGGCCACGGACAGCGAGGGGCTGGCGATGGGGGTGGGTTTGCGGGGGAACAAGATGGGGAAACCGTCGCCCGGCCCGAAGCCTCTGCCGTTCATCTCCGGCCTGACCAGCTCCGGCCTGACTAGCTCCCCCCTCACCAAGTCCTCGTGGCACCTGGTGTCCAGCCTGTGGTGATGGCTGTCAGGGGGTGGGGGGTGCGGGTGCTGCTGTTGTTGCTGTTTGGGGTGCTGTTTGCTGGCCAGGGCCTCAGCGTAATGGTGCATAGCCCTCAGGCTGACGCTCTCCATCTCCTTGCGCAGGACGCAGTGCTTGTCCAGCGGTTTGGAGCCGTTCTCCCTGTTGCGGCTCAGCTCGGAGTCCATGCTGAAGCTCGACTCGGGCCTGCTCTCGTTCTCCAGCTCCAGCTCTTCCTCCTCCTCCTCTTCCTCCTCCTCCTCCTCCTCTTCCTCCTCGTTAGGCCCCCCGCCTCCGCCGCCTCCCGCCCCGTCATGGCCCCCTCCGCCCCCACCGCCCCGAAAGCCGGGCGCCCCCCCGGGCTTCAGGCCGCAGCCCTCGCCCCCCGCGTGCTCGCTGGTGCCCGGCTCGGGGGAGCTGGCCGCAGACAGGCCGTCATCGGAGCGGCCTGTGACAGAGGACGGCTTGTGCATGTGGGTCTTCATGTGGCGCTTGAGCTTGCTGGCCTGGGAGCACGCGTGGTCACACAGCTGGCACTTGTAGGGCTTCTCCCCCGTGTGGCTGCGACGGTGGACGATCAGGTTACTCTGGAACTTGAAGGTCTTGCCGCAGAACTCGCAGGACTTGGTCTTGAGCTGGGACTGCGGGGGGGTGGCGCTGGCCGGGGGCATGGGGGGCAAGGGCGGAGGGGTGCTGAGAAAGGGAGACTTGGGGCTGGGGTGGAAGGGCTGCAGGAGGCGGTGCATAGGGTTGTGGCGGCTGGGGGAGAGCGGGGGGGTCGAGCTGTTGTTACCCGCCAGCTCCCTGAGCCGCCTGGAGAAATCCATGGATTGCGATTCGATGCCCCCCATGGGGTTCAGGCGCAGCACGCGATCAAAGGCACTGTGGTGCTGGGACACGAGGCCCATCTCGTCGGCACTAAGGCGGTCCAGCCGGTGGGCGTCCAGGTGGGGGTGCCGCGGCGGGGGGTTGAATATGGGCGGAGTGCCGGGCAGCCGCACGTCTCCGAACGGCTGGTGTTCATGGAGGAGGGGGGCCGACATCCGCAGCAGGCTGAAGGGGTTGCCGTCGCCCAGGAAGCCGGCCAGGGGGGACTGGGAGATGGGGTCCGGCCCCAAGGAGGGCGGGATGCTGATGCGGGGGGTCAGGGGGCTGCTGGTCGGGTGGGTCTCCAGGTAGATGCGGAATCCGTGGGTGTTCTGTGCGTGTTGCAGCAGGAACCAAGCGCTGTTGAAGGGCTGTTTGCATGTTGTACAAATGTAGCTGGAAGGTTCGTCCTTACCTGCGAGCAAACGAGAGAGAGAGAGAGAGAGAGAGAAGGCGTTGGGTTAACAGGGGCGATAACAACAACACATTACATTCATACAGCGCCCTCACACAGGGGAGACACTCAGGTCCGTCACAGTCACCAGATAAACACAAACGCAGATAAACACGGCAGCTAATAACAACAACAATAACATAATAATAATCCTGGCATTTGATATAGCGCTTTATCACGACTTTGAGACGTCTCACAATGCTCTTCACGGAATATACCGTAAAGTGTAGTGAAGTGTAGAGACACTGCTGCGCGCAATTGGCTGCCGCCTTTCGCCCACAAAATACACAGTCACTCCGCTTTACAGTATATTCTATGAAGTGCTTTGAGACGTCTCGATGACGTGATATGCTGCTATATCAAATGTAAGGATTATTGTTATTGTGGGGCCTGGCCGACAACCCCCACTGATAAATTCAGTCATCGCGTCTCATGGCTTCGTTGCTCTGTTGCTGGGTTTGCATACACTTCACGGTTTGAGACGTCTGGACGATGTTAATCAGTCATTAATATAAGACGCACCAGCCTTGTATTTGACACCGAACCTTTTGCATCGTGAGGAAGTGTTGAACAGCTTCCTTGGATTTCACTGTAATGTGTAGTGACTTTTTTTTGAGTAGGCAATCGCGTCAAGAAAGAAAAGAGCTCATTCCTATCATCTCGAACAATAATCATCCTGGAGTTTGAACAGAAGAAACTGATTGATGTGCACGGAATCAACTGTACTATCAGGACACCCACACGTCAGGTTTAAATGATGGAAACCACCCAAGCAGGAGCTGAACGACAGAGTTACAGTCACTGGTGGGCGAGTGTATCAACAGCAACGGCAATGTGATCACTGAGATCAGATCAGTGCCTGTACTCGCTCATATTCCTGTTGTTTACTGATGCTGTTGTCCTGTCCCATTGACAAAGTCCTGCTGTCAATGGGAATTTACAACAACAATACAAAGCAAGCAGCAAGGAGACACAGACTGTAGCTCTGTGTAACTCACTTTTATCTTGTACCGAACAGTAGAACCAGAGAACACGGCCTGTGATTGAAACGGGGGGTAAATTCAGAACAAAATCTGCGGAAACCCTACTGCAGCGAGCGAGCAGTAAACTTATGGGAACAGGCACCCGAGGGAGATAGACGGTGGAAGCAGAAAATGTTGTTTGTTTCGAGAACAAACGAGACAGATTTCTGCAGCGAAGCATCAGTCTGGACCGTGTGAGCTCATAGTCCCTGACACGGGACTCGAACCCACAACCTCCGACTGACTCAGAGGCGAGAGCCCAACTGAGAGCCAGGTTGATGGCAATGGAGTTCAATGCATCATTTGCTAGACTCTCCCCCCACCCCTAACACACACACTCCATCAACAAACTCTTGCAGTCGGCCTGTGAGCTGAAACCCCCCCCCCTCCCCCCCAACTCCTATTGCGGGTCACCCTCCCCATCCCAGTCACTGTCAGCTCAATGTTAATGTCTCCCATTCTGGCAGCTTCAGCCCCCCCCCACCCGGAGGGCAGGGAAATCCCCGAATCGCAGTCAGTCTATCCATTTAATGTGCAGCCGCAGCCTTCACCTTGCCTTTACCTGCCTTCCTTCCTTTAAATTAATCAATTAATCAGAGACAGCTGTTCAATTACACTTGTAAAAATTTACTGGCGATCCACACAGCCATTTCCATATGGTTCCTGATGAGAGGAACTTTAATGACCTGCTTCAGTGCTGCAGCGCTGAGTGAAAAATACCATTAATGCTTTTTCATTAAGGTTTTCCTCGTGCATTGTCTTAATATAATGCTCTGATTCTTTCTGCTTACCCCCCTCCCACCCCCCAATCCACCGCCCCCACCTCCCAGCCCCTCCTCTTCCCCCCCAGCTTGCCCCCCACCCCACCCCGCCTGCCCACAGGATCTTATTGTCTGAAGAATTATTGTCTTAAGCTAATCAGATCGGGACACTGGGCGAGCGAGGGGCAAATCCCACCCCCACATTACAGCGTATTGTGTAGCTGTTGGGCTGGAGGGGAGGGAGAGAAATAGACACACACACAGCACGCATACACACAACTAATAGGAAACACTGAGCGCACACAAACCACACACGTGAACACAACATGACCAACATTACACACCAACAGCCAACACTGAACACAGAAGGGGAGAAGGGGATCTCTTAGATCCTTAGACAATTTCAAATGAAAACTTTGGGGGTGGGGAGGGCAGAGCAGAGCGAACACACACACACTCTCACATACACACTCACTCACACACAAACTCACACACACTCTCACATACACACTCACTCACACACACTCACATACACACACTCACTCACACTCACTCGTCACTTGAAAATGCACTTATCCACTTAGCACATTAGCTAGAGGTAGGAACTTGGTGGATCTTATAATCTCATTGAAAGATAAAAGCGTTGACTTCATAAATCCTGTCACTAACCCTGAAATGCGATCACACATCTCCGTCCCCACCTGCTGGCTCTCGCCATCCTCTCCCTTGACGAGCTAAATGCTCTAGGAGACGTCTGAAACCTCCCCCACCTTTCCCCTCTCACCCCCCCCCCCCCCCCACCACACACACACATTCACTCCGAGCCTGAAGGACCTTTGCTTGAAATGTAAGACCTCATGAATATGGAAAAAAACTGTAAATAGCCTGAATTCGGAACCAGATTTACATTGTTTCCATACAAATGACGACTGAATTTACTAATATTCCAAAGAGCGCTTCGAGTCGTCCTCCTGACGCTATCTAAGTGTGAATCAGACTATATTGTATTGCAACAGCCTTAAGCCTGAGACTAGGAGGGGGTGTCTGGCTTCTCGTTTATACAATGACTGGCGTAGAGCACACTGCAAGGTTACAGGTAGGAACGCTGGAGCTCAATGTCTCAGGCACGGTCTTAAGTAATAATTTCTTTCGGGCGCGACCTTAATAATGATTGGGTTTGATACAGTCCCTTATCGTGTCGCCAAAATGCCTCAGAGAGCTTAACAGGATTTTACAGTCAGATGTGGTGACGTTTAAAATCTGCCAAACACCTTCTCTTTCCAAATCGAGCTCAACTTCCCCAACGTGGGGATCGGAAACCAAAAGCGATTCCCACTCAAGAGGCAAGACCCCTGGTGACCAAGCCAGAGCAACAACAACAACAACAACTTGCATTTACAATCAGAGTAAATCTGGAGCCAGGGGCAGAATATCTAATCGTTTCCTTCAGCGGGTGGGTGGGCAGTCAGACAATCAGCTTGCTCACTCCCCCATTTCTGAAACATGGTACCTGTGTACAGTGTGTATCGCAAACTAAAATACATGTCTTGTTTGTGTTATAACAGGATTCCCCATTATAAACAGACAATGGAAAACAGCTACGTGTGGTGATCAGGTTGCGACTGACACATATTTTCTCTGTTCACAGCTTGTGAAATCTCTCTCGCTATAAAATTTATGTCACACAGTCCTGTACAGTACAGAGACTGAGCTAAACCCCAAGCATTGCAGATACTGGAAATCTGAAACAATAACCGAAGTGGCTGTGGACCACTCAGCAGGTCAGGCAGCGTCTATGGAGAGAGGATAGCGAGTTAACGTTTCGGGCCCACGACCCTTCGTCAGAACTGGGGTATGTTCCCTATTTTCCCTCCCAAACATGCCCCAGTTCTGACGAAGGGTCGTGGACCCGAAACGTTGACTCGCTTTCCTTTCTCCATAGATGCCGCCTGACCTGCTGAGTCTTCCCAGAGGCTGAGCTGTCTGTAGACTCTCACCCTTTTTTTTTGTAAAAAACAAAAACAAAATTGTTTCTAAATTTCTGCACTGATATTAAACAAAATCCCTCAAATCATGGTAAATGTTTCCCACTATGTGGGATTTGCGCACACAACCTTCTGACTCCGAGGCCATAACCGGCTCTGAGTTTGGAAGCCAATTTCTTTTGAAGAATTTCGGTAAAACCAGCTCGCCAATTATTATTACTATTGGTGGTAGGAATAATAATAATCCTTGCGATTGTGTCACGTCATCGGAATGCCACACAGCACTTCATAGGATTTACTGTAAAGTGCTGTGAATTATTTTTGTAAGTGACCACAGCAGCCAATTTGCACCCAGCAACTTCCCATAAATAGCCATGTGAATAAACAAAAAATAATAAAAAAGTGAATAAACAATTTTTATTGAGGGGATTGTTGGCCAGGACAATGGGAGAAACTCCCTTCTCTTTTCCAACAGTGTTGTGGGATCTTTAACGTCCACCTGAACAGGCACAGACAGGCCCTCGGTTTAACATCTCATCTGACGGATGGCCCCTCCGACAATGCAGTATAACTCCCCCAGCGCTGCATTGGAGCGTCAGCCCAGATTATACCAGGTCAAAGTCCCGACCTAGGGCTTGAACCCACAACTTTCTGGCTCAGAGAAGTGAGTGCTAATCCCAGTCACACGAGTCGGCCAATTCATCGACTTGATGCCATCAGCTGGTTCCTCGGGGGAAGAGAAAGGTGGGGTGGCTTTGCGATGCACACTGAAGGGGACGCTGTCTGTAGGCTCTCTCGTGTGTGCGGAGGGGTGGGGGAGGGGGGGTATTTGCCCCACACCAATCAGGCAGGGCTATGTAGGCGGTCACAACGCTGAGATAGCGTCAATATTTGCAGCTGAGGACTAGGCTCACCTCAATCAAAAGCCTCTGACACGTGAGAGGAACGGAAATCCTCTTATATCAACCTCACACACGCCCAGGTTCTTGAAACGGCCTATTTAAACTGTGCTTTTTGATCACTTATAATAATAAATCCTCATTTTTGACACAGCCCCTTATCTTGTTGAGACGTTTCCAAGTGCTTCACACGTCACTGCCGTAAAGTACAGCGAATGGGCATGTTGTTGGCAAACACAATCTGCGTGCCAGCAGCACCCCACAGACAACAACAATGATATTTATATATTTCAC